CCGTTCCTGCCTGTTGTAACCACAGCCCCTTCAGCTAGGTGAGTCCATTAAAACTAATGTGGTCAGCATCCAATGTCGAAAACTTACAGAGCTATCTATATTGGGGATATATTTACGCCTACAGGTCACTCCCCTCTAGTGGGGCAGTGATGACCCTAAGACGTGGCCAGCCAGAAGTTTAAACCTAACGAGTTTTTCGTTGGTAAACACTCTTCTGATAGTTTGCTAGGTTCAGCAGCGTCTGGTCGTCTTTGCTTACTATAAGGAACCATGAAGTACAATGTAGTGAAAAAGTAAAAGTACAATTACATTTATTATAAAGAAAAAGTGGGACGATATAAAATGTCAATTAGTATCTTACGTGCCATAATCTTTCAAATGTTCTGAAACCCTCGCTTTTCTTTCAGAACGCCGTGTCTTAAGTTTATTTTCTGATACTGCCGAAGTATCATCGTGTGTGTTGGCTGTCAGTTGAGGTATTATAAGTGCAGGAGTCGTGTCCTGCGATTGTACTGAAGGAAAATTGACGTGAATATGACTTCCTTCTGAATACTCTGCTTTGAGGCGATTGATGTTGATGCTATCGTTGGTTCTGTTCTTATCGATTATCTAGTACTTAGGTTCGGTGAAAAAATTCTATCAACCCGTTTGCTTGTGGGTGGTAGGCCGTCGTTCGGAAGCGAATGATTCCTAATAGTGTGACCAGACAACAGAAAAGTTCAGATTCGAACTGGCGTCCACGATCTGTCGTGATTGTTTTTGGGCAGTCGAAGTTTGCTACCCATCGTTCGACGAAGGCGCGGGCCACTGTCTTAGCAGTAATGTCTTTGATGGGTACTGCTTCTGGTCAGCGAGTAAAACGGTCTACGCAGGTTAAAAGATAAGAATATCCATTCGAATCTGGTAAAGGTCCTACCAAATCAAAATGAACATGGTCGAATCGAGCATCAGGAATTGTGAATGAGCCTAAGGGGCATTTGTTGTGCCTAATCATCTTAGATTTCTGACAACTTACACAGGAGCGTGCCCACTCCCTCACGTCTTTATTCATACTAGGCCAGCAAAACAGTTCTGCTATGAGCTTGACGGTTGCACGAACACCTGGAAGAGAAAGTTTGTGCGACGTATTGAAGACGTTGCGTCGATAATGTTTCGGCACGATTGGGCGATCTCTATCTGTAGTTGTGACACATAGCAGGATTTCCCTACCTGTTTCCATCTGTTTAATTCGCAGTTTAAGTGTTGTTGCAGATAACTCATGCTGAAGATCAATGTCTTTTTTTGAAGCTGAGCGAGTTTCAGAAGGTCGATTCCTTGGAAACTGTTCAAGGAAGTTATTTGAGACAAGGCGTCCGCAGCTACATTGTTTGCTCCAGAAATGTGTCAAATATCTGAAGTAAACTGAGAAACGTAGTCCAGTTGTCGACACTCACGGGGTGAATACTTGTCTGAAGAGGAGCTTAAAGAGAAAGTAAGAGGTTTATGGTCAGTAAAAAGGGTGAATTTGTAGTGGCATTGAGCCCTACCACGAGACACTATGAGAAATAGACACTAAACATTTATCGCGGAGAAATACAGAAGAATGGAGAAGGCGGGGAGAAGGAATTGAATTAATCGGACTTAATCTTATGGCATGGCTCGACCATGTAGGCGTGGTCCCTCCTGCTAAATGTTACGTTATGTCTTTTATTCATATTAAATATATTGTTCCATCTCTGGCCTAAGCTTGTTCTCTATCACGTATTGGTAATTGTTACAATGCAATGAGTTGGTGTAGACGATGATGTAACTTCCACGTAAGATCTTATAGATTAGGCAGTTGCATCATGACAAATCTACAATTTATGGATTATGTCTATTATTAGAGCAGTACCAATAGCATAGTAGACCGTAATCCTACAAATTCACTGCCTTCGATATAATGTTGAAAATGCCGGACAGCACAATACATAGTTAGGAGTTCCCTACCGAATGTGCTGTACCTCGATTCATAGTCTAGCAACCGTCTAGAGAAAAATGCCAAAGGTTGCCAGGAGTGGATAACCCATTGTTGTAAGACTGCTGCGATTGCTGAGTCGGATGCGTCTACTGCGATAGTAATGGGTGCTTGAGTGTCCTGATGTGTAAGCATTGTTTCTTTAGCGATACGTTCCTTAACTTTGGAGAATGCTTTACGCGTGGTGTCATCCAGATTGATGGATTTCTCATTTCCACGAAGTTGGTCGGTAAGAGGTTTCATGAGGGACGCGCGTTTTGATATGAACCGTCTATAGAAACTTACCAGGCCGTTGAACATGCGCGATTGCTTGGCGGTCGGTTCTGGATAATCCAGAATGATCGCCACTTTTGTTCTAAGGGGTCGGATATCTTGTACATCTAGAGTGTGTCCTAAGAAGTCTAAGGAGTCGGTTCCGATTTGGCATTTCTGAATGTTTACAGTCATGCCGTGTTTTTGTAGTCGGTCGAAAACCAGCTCCAGGCGCTGGAAATATGATTCTCTGTCCGGACTTGTTATTAGGCAGTCGTCAACATGCGCATGTACGAAGTTGGGACCTCGAAAAACATCATCTATGAACCTTTGGAAAGTCTGTGCCGCGTTTCTCAGACCGAAAGGCATTCGCAAAACTTCATAGAGTCCGAAAGGAGTTATAATAGTGGTTTTTGAAATATCGTCAGTAGCCATATGGATTTGGTTATACGCTTTAATTAAGTCGATTTTCAAAAAGACAGTTGTACCTTTCAAGGCAGCTGTCAAATCGTGAATGTGAGGTGACGGGTAACGATCAGGAATGGTTTTTGCATTTAGTCGCTGATAGTCACCAGTTGGACGCCAATCGTTGCTGTCCTTTTTAGGGACCATGTGCAACGGAGATGACTATGAGCAGTTTGACGGTCTTGTGATACCTAAGTCTATCGTGTGTTCGAATGCGTTTTTCGACAGTTGGTGTGTTTTAGAGAATACAAGAGGTCCTGTAGTCGTGATATGATGTGTAACGTTGCTGGTTACACACGGCAATTTCGATTGCGATTGGTATAAACCAGAATACTTATCGAGTAGTGGTTGATAGAATGGGTCTATAGTGTGCTTAATTGTAACTGGAGATAATATGCAACCAGAAAAAGAAGTTACGCAAACAGATAAATTAGCACTTCCGTCTATTAAATCAGTTTGAGCGTATCGATGATTAAGTTGTGATGCTGTAGGAGGTCTATAGCAATGATCGGCATAGAAACATCTGCAAAAACAAAGATCCAGTGAATGGGTTTGCGTAAAGCCACGTTGAGATAAACGTAACTTTTGCCATACGTAGCGGTAGGCTTTACGTTTGCCGCCTGTAGATTTAAAACCGATTCGTGAAGCCGGTCGTTAGAATTCACTGAGAGGCAGCGAACTTCTGCTCCAGTATCGACGGGGTAGCGAAATATCGTTATCACATCTGTGACGTATAACAGAAGGCTACGTTTGCCGCTAGCGCGTGCCGGCTTGGAAGTTTCCCGAATCGTTTTTCGTGTAGATTGATTTTGAGTTAGGAAAATTGTTGGGTCTTCTGCCAATTCTGAAGGACTTTCCACACTGGTTATGATAGCAGCACCAGTCAGGGTTATCTGTTTGTCGTGGTCTAGAGACAGATCGCCTACGAGAAGTGTTTCTTCGCGAGGTGTGTGATCGTTTACGGTCGCTACGAAGTTTAAAATAATGTATAAGTGTACGACATAACTCCGTAATGTCATTCTGGGTGGTTTGAAGCTTTTCTTTGACTGAAAAAACCTCGACATTAGAAGATTTTGTGATTTCGAGGATACCGTCAGCAGATGCAGCCAGCTCATCTACGGCGTTGTTTGAAACGTAACTAGCACAGCTTGCACCTATTGAGAAAGTTTGGACAAGAAAAGTTGTTTGAACAGGCCATCATCGAAGGTTTTTCGGCCGATAACCTCTCTCATTCTTTGCAACATGTCTATCGCAGAACCGTGTTACAGGTCGATGTTATTCAGGAGTTGGTCTAAACTATGTCGATCGGTCAGATCTCTGTGTTTGAGGATAGATCGTTGTAGTGTTTCGTAGGGCTGTGAAACATCACTAGTAAACATACTAAGTGTTATGTACATGTTGAATTCGCGCGGTAGTTCCTTGACTACTACAAGGAATTGTGTAATGTTTCGTTCACGCCGTGCTCGTAGAAGTCGGCCTCTGCATAACACAACCAGGCTTTGATGTTGTCTGACCAGATGGGCATTGGCTTGAACGAAGGTGAGGACAGAGTCTTTAACCTAAATACCTTGAGTGTCTGTTCAGTCGTGGTGAAATATCAAGTACAAGAATGAACGAGTAAGAAATATTTATATATCCAAAACCACGGAAAAAATATCACAATATATAAGAAATTAAAATGAGGCAATTATACATAAAATCCCGAAAAGGAACAGACTCACAATTTGTAATTTGGTGTACCAGATCACGTTAGGCTCACAAATGAAGTTGGAGTTTGACAACGCTTTAACCAGTAACACCTAATATGAATCGTACCCACCAAGTGAAATCAAAAGACAGAAGTGAGGAGGTTCGAAGATTTATTTGATAGGCTATCAATATATTGAGGATCGTCTGATCTAATCTGCCAACGAATGCAGAGGTTGTTGAGTACAGCGTTCCCACTCGTGATCTGGTGCGGATGCATGACCGAACGCCTTCAGCTAGGTGATTCCATTAAAACTAATGTGGTCAGCATCCAATGTCGAAAACTTACAGAGCTATTTATTTTGGGGATTTATCTACCGCTAGACTGGTCTCAATAATTATACTGGACACACTCCTAACAGAAGTCACTTTGTCAAGAATCCTCACCAGAGCATGTTTGCGTACACAGTGATGCCTACCTCTTACGACCTTAATTACACGGCACCAAAGACTTGAAGTGGTACGTTAACATCAAGAGGCAAGTTCAAAGAAGTCAATTAGTTTTTACTAGCTCTTCTGAAAAATGTTAGTATTAAAAAGTATTTACTCCTTAGCTGGAGGTACTTTGAATAATGCGTTACAGTACTATACTGCAATATTTGAGAAGATCGACTAGTTTTCATTCATTTTTTCTTCTTAAAAGACCTGACTTGGTCTGTGTTACTCACTTAGCTAAAATAGGACTCACTAACCCATCTTGCCCAAACTCACTGTCCGATGCTGAATATGAGCGTGTATCTACGAAAACTTTGGAGTTACTAGCAGACTATTTCGAACAACTTCCGGAACGCTTTGCGTTGAACAAAGAATATGATGTCGAACACGCCTATGGTGTTTTGAAGGTCACTTTTGGTCCTCAAGTTGGGACTTATATTATTAATCGTCAGGCCCCAAATAAGCAGTTATGGCTTTCTTCTCCTCAAAGTGGCCCTAAACGTTACGATTATATTCCATCGATGCGTCTATGGATCTATAAGCATGATGGAAAATCTCTTCATTCTCTTCTCAGCGAAGAGATCTCTGCCATCGTAGGTGGCTCTGTAGAGTTTCAAGACTGAGGCATGCTGTCGGCTGATCATATATTATTCTGTTATATATTTTCACGCTTAGAAAATACTCTAACTGGACCTATCAAACTCAGTAAATTATTGTTTGTATATGTTCAGTCATCTTTTGTTGCGGGACTGCTTTTGGCAATTGAAACTATCCGAGTATTAATATACTTAATACGATAGATACGTTATGTACATATAAATTACGATGTTCATTTCCTCCAAAATGATCCAATTTCAAAATTTCTACTTAATTTTTACCTATGTTTTTGAAATTCATATGATCTCTCAGCGACTCAATCATAAAATTTTGTGAATGAAAGTTTGTTTTTGATAGCTTTTAACACTAGGCTAAGTTAAGATGTACTTTGTATCGTCTACGTAAAGCTATATGGGAAGCGATAGTCTAATTGTTAAGCCATTAGTTTTTAGTTGCCGGATTTCCACATAATAGTCCCTCTAATTAATCTTGATTGTACTTTATCATGCATCAGTTCTCAACAATTAACCTACAACAGCTTTACTAGCGATAATTTCTTCGAAATCCCTAATTGCCGCAGATACTGATCAGTGGTCAGCCATATCATAACGCTACTTTTCCCTAATTATACAGTGGCAATACTTAATCAATTTGGTAACACTAAAACTGTCAATGGATTTATCGACAAACGTCAAATTTCCGTCTGCGTTCTGTGATTTCCACGGGCCTTTTCTAATCTAGAGATTGGGTAACAAAGAATTACTAGGTAACATTTCTTAGGCGTCAATACCCTTTGAGTATACGTTTTTTTTTCTGTACCAACCTACCTCTTAGTATTTTAGACAATTGCCCATTGCTTAGAAAACACCCGCTTCAATATAGATCTCAATGTTTGTCGAGTTAGTTTATTATCTGTTAATTAGCTAATAACAATTCATTTTTAATTTCATTTCGTGAATGTTGTTTGTACCTGTTTTAGGACTAATTAACAGATTTTAATGAAGTTTGACAGAAGACTGCATTTTGTCACCGTCTTTTGCCAAACGGGATTACATCATCTGCGTACTCGTAATTCGACTTGGCGGATATCGGTTTATGCCACATAATAATCTTTTTACCCTGTTGATGATATTCAGCGTAAAATTTACAGCACTTTGATAGCTCAGTACAATGGAACCGATAATTATTTTGTCCTGTATTTAAAACGCATATACACTTTATTTAGTGATAAGCCGTCAACTAGGAGTTTGTTTCTTGCTCTCTTGTAATGGGAATGGGATAGTTATTTCTGTAGGATGGTGTATAGATTGTGAGCCGAAATTCTTGTTTGGTTAGTTTTTTCCCTTCACCAGTGTTAAAATTTAATTGTAGCAATTTGTTGGTACTTTCGTTAAATCTATTCCATAACGCAACCTACAAAACAAAACTTTCAGTACAGTACAACATAAGAGACATCCACTGAGTATTTCAACTTGATCGAACTACCTCGCCAACCTGCTCAAGTACTAGCATTTTTATTTGTTTCAAAATGTAACTTTATGTCCTGCCCTCACTCCCTTCCTATTTTTCAAGTCATTGCTAAATGTAATTACAACAGTAAGCTCAATCTCAATAAGATAAACCAAATGTATAGTTTGTAAGATAGCTTCTGGGTACTGAGCAATATATTTTTTACAGTTAGAGGCGTCAACAATGATCGGAGGTTTTTAAAGACTTGTTTAAATAACCCCAATTTTATCAGGTATTGGCATGCTTGGTATTAGAAGTTGCTCCAAAAAACAAACACGCTAACCATCATCGTATCATTGATGACATTATAGAAGAAAGCAGTAGTAGTGAGTAACTGCCGAACACTACTGCTCGTATTGACAAAGTTAAACCTAGTTTTGCCAGTTGATTTGTTATTCACTATGATTTGTTCTGTTAATTGTCATTTAGGCCAGACTCAATTGGTGGGAAACTTATATCTCAGTGGTTTTTACATATGTTAATATACGGGCCGTATTTACAATCTATGCAACAACAACTTCGCTCAAAGGTGGCCACTCGGTTTAACATATTTCTATAGATATTCCAGCTAGGTAACTTTCCAGAATCATTGCAACATATGTGAAGGGAACTGTGTATGAGTTGTCTGCGCTTACGCTCTCTGGTTGATAACAGACATTGGATGTACCTCATCTAGTTATTCGCTTGTAACACTTGGTTCATTTAATGTTCCCTATCTGTTTTTGAGTCCACTTAGTTACTGACAAAACCCGTCCTTGCCTGCCTCTTGAGTACGATCAGTTAAAGTGTCGACAGAGACGATTCCACATACGTCAGTACAGTTGAATAACCTTGCATTCACTTTCCAATAGAGTCTGCAAATATACGAACTTATGAGTGTTTTGAGAGCAAGAGTAAAGTCTCCATAAATACGTACTCAAAGGAACAGGATGATTGGTTTAATGAATGCTAACTTCAACTCCACATCAATAGTCAGTTGACTTCTTAGTAATCCTTTAATAGTTAACGAAACGGCTTTCTTGATGTAGATGTTCAATTATCGCAAAAGCTGTACTTAAATTTCAGGGTTACCGTTAATTCGTTCCTGAAACTCCAACATAGTGAAGTTTACTGGATTTTCGAATATTTGTTGTGTTGCTTGTAACATATCAGCACTTTTGACTATCTATCAAGAGCGACAAAAGTCACTCCAAGAAATATATCAGACTACCAGTCTTGAGGTTACTCCAATTATATCAGGAAATATTTTCGGAATTATTTTAAATCACTGTTAGGAAAAATTCCCAGGTAATTGAACTGTCAGTGTGAACACTGCCGAGATATTACATAAAAAGTAACCTGGAAACCATCATGTAAGAGTGCAGTTCTAACTTATTCAGAGATGTTTATTAACTGTTAGTTTTCTTTTTACTCCAATCATAGAAACAGTTTGAGAATCTTCAGTAACTGGAGTTTGACGAAAGTACTACAATTACTGGCGGTTTTTTGCTTAAACCCTTAGCGCTTATCAATTATCACAATTTTAGGTCCAAAAATTGGGAATACTATACTTTCTTAATGTCTTATTCAGTTAAGAGTATTCTGCGTATGCATTATATTAACCGAGAAACTGGCCTAAGTTCATAGTAGCGAATAGTGTGTTTGATGTAAGACGTCTTGGCTTCTAATGTAACCTATATTGATGATTGCATAAGTTTGTTTTGTCTAATGCAGTTAGCCGATTCCAAGAGATTACTTGTCCATATCACTTTATATTATTTATACTTAGGTGTGTTTTCGCTGCATAGGCCGAATAAATGCTTAAAGTGTCGTCTTTAGCGTTACAGGAGTTCACTATTCTGGCACTCAGTAGATAACTGATATTTGTTCGCTTTTAAATTTGTGCCTTTATTTATATCAATGAGCATGTTTCCCCACTTATAAGTGAGTAAATATTAAACTTTTACAGGACTTGTAGGTTAACGAAAACAAACCATATTTTGTTTGATACATGCTATGTCAAATAAAACTCGAAAGAAGAAAAATGGGTGGATGCAACTTTAATGAAGTTTGCTATTTACCTCAACTAATATAAGCAACTATCAATAAAGATAATTTCCCTTATACGTTTCTTTTGTTTCCAATAACGATTTGATAGGTGACTCCAAATGTTAAATAAGTTAACGTGGCTTCCATCCAATCATATCCGACAGATTCACGGATAAAAACAAATACAGATGAGCCTATCTTTAAAACTAAATAGTTACTTTTCAACTCATTTCTTTCATAAGGGTTTTTACTCTGCTGGACCGTTTATTGTACTGAATACTCTTATAACCAAACTTTCAACCACCTGAACTATAAATCCTTTTGAAGTGCTTTAAGTTTAATGATATGTGATATAACAAAAGTTTTGATAAGATCCTGGTTAATATAATAGATTCTAGACAAAAGTAGTGTAAGTCTGAAACTTCTACTCATGTATATAATAAGTATTTCTCTGTGAGTTCATTGTTGGGAAAAGCGTTGCTTCACTTATTTTTTGTAAAATATCCTTTCTATAATCATATCCCTGATTACATGCGATGATAACAAAGACGAATAGTCTTACTAATATTTTACGGGTGTAAAAAGGATATCTATAGATTCAAAATAATTATTCTTTAACTATTACACAACGGTGTGATGTTTATAATGTAGTTCATAATTTCTCGAGAAGTCATCTCTATTATTTGTCCATCGATCTTCAAGGAAAGTACAGAACTAGAACTTATTGTCCTTATGAAAACGATTAGATGTAATATGAAATCATATGTAACGATTGCACCGATAACAGTGGTCATTAGTAAACACAAGGTTCATGATTAATAAATTCAATAAAGTAGCAAATATTTGAGTTACAGTTCTTGCGAAATTATAAAATTCACATCCTATATTCATAAGTATATGATTTAGGATTTAGAAGTGATTAATTGCTAGAAACTATTAAGGAATAATTGTTCGTAAATCTGACTATCATTAGTGTTATCCTCTACCTGGATGAGCACTTCTGTAAATTAACAATTAAATAAATTATTAAGGATTTAATTATTTGAATAAGCATCGATTACCCTGGAAAAATTGAAAAACAAATAAGCAGTAATTCATGAAATCACTTATATTTAGTTTAATCATCATGGTTTGAAACAAATTGGCGTAATATAATGGTAAAATAGTTTATAAGATTCCCTGATAGTGTGGTGTTACACTGAAACGATATCAATTGACTCAAAGCTGGAAACACGTTATTAACTAGTTTTAACAGTGGTGATCATCCTCAATATTTCTTTCGTTATCTTTAGGGATTCTTTCAGCTTTAACAATCTTTATTCATTTCGGCTAGTCCATGCTGCTCATTTAAGAACAATGTATCAACTTGAAAATAACAAGCATGCATTTATCAGTAATTGGATTTAGAAGTCTTTTTTTTCAAACAAAAAGAAAACAAACAAACATGAAATCTCATCTTCTCATTGAAAGCGCATCAGAGTCGAGGCATCGATAACAAAAGAAAGTAATCAATATAAGAAGACTTATAACAATATATATTTGTTTTCTTCATTTATATATAGAGAGATATATATTCAGTCCATACATCAAAATTTGTAAACCTAATGTATACAATCATTAATTGGAATTTTAGAAAAAATAATATCATGATTTTAAACTAAGTTTGAATGAGAAAATTATCATCATAAAAGTCAGATTCAATCAAATGAAAACAATAGAATCAATAGTAATAATAATAATTGACTGAAATTGTAGTTAGGTTTTTTTATTAGGAGAAATGATGTATATTTTTAAACAACACA